GCTCGGTGCACACGGACCCCTCCTCCTCCATCCACTTCCGGGACTTAAGATCGGTTTCCGGAAGCCGGGACGGTGTCCCCATGACAACGGACGTTGAGGCTTCGAGGTGAGCGTGCATGATAATTAGCAGATAAAAGTGTCCCGACGTCGGAGTTTTTGTGGTTATTGTTTTGGCTTTGGCTTCCTGCCAAGGCAGCCCCATTTTTTAAAGTGGATCTGGAAAGGGGAGGGGAAGTGCCCTGGGGACAAAGGGAACGCGGCAGGCGGCGGTGCACGAGCTGTGGAGGCCGCTTCGTTACCTGGCGAGTCACTGCGCTGAGCCCGCGGAGACGCTCCTCGCCGAGGAGGTGGCGGAGGGCGGTTCTGTGTAACGGAGCCGCTCAGCGGCCCTCTGGTGGCCTGGGAAGTAGTGGTTACGAGCACGGGCGCGGGTGTCACACCTACTGTGTATCCTATCCTGGCTCTGCTCGCCTGAGGCCCGGAGGGATGACTTGAACTCTGGCCCTGTGATGGGAATGGTTCTTTCCTACCTTGCAGAGGAGTTGCGAGGGTTAGAGGAAATTGTCTTGGTTGACAAGTTTCTCGTGGCGCAGGTAAGTACGTGATAACTATCGGCATTTGGTGAATGAGGAAACTCGGCTCAGAGAAACCACGTCCATACACCCACCCAGGTGGGACTTCGCCAGGTGGGGTGGGTGAGGTTCCTTAGCCTCTCAGAGCCTCTGTGTAAAATGGGGATTATATGCCGAGTAACAGCTACAGCTCAAGATGGGTGTAGCATTAAAGTAATAAATATGAAAAGTTTGTAAATTGTAAAACATTTTACAGATGTTAATTTAATCTCAGTCTCTTAACACCTCAAAGCATTTTGAAATTTGTTTATATATTTAATCTAGATGGAGGGGTCATAGGACACCCCCAGAGCAACTTCTGGGTCTTGTAATATATGGAAGTAAAGGCCCAGTTTCCCTTACCTGGTGCCCACTGTGTTGCTACCATAACCTTACACACAGAGTTTTGCAGGAGAGCACTGTTTCCTCTCAGCTTTTTCTGCCTACACCACTTCCCATTCCTCCTGTGCCAACATTTTCCCCACCTGGTTACATATCAGCCTATCAGTAATGTGAGAGACAAAGGTGTGCAGTAGTTAAGAGCATGCACACTCTGGACCAAGACTGCCTGAATCTCAGTCCCAGCTCTGGCACTTACTAGCACTGTGGCCTTGGATGAATTATGTCGTCTCTCTGGACCTCAATTGTCCCATCTGTAAAGTGGGGGAAGAGTAAGAGTATATCTTCTACGTCATGAGGTTAAGATTTAAATAATATTAATGCTTAGACTAGTCCCCAGCACATTGTGATAGGCAAAGGTTGGCTGCTGCAGTCAGTATTAGTATTAGAATTGGTATTATTGCAGTCACTCACTCATTGTAGTGCCCCTAGATTCCTTTGGACTCAAAAGTGGTTAGAGCTCTGAGTTTAGCTTTCTAGCATGGAGAAAGGTTAAGGGTGAGGGTGTCTAGGAGTGACTAATTGGGGGTTCTTGTTATTGTTGGCTTTGTTCACTGATGTATTCCAAGTACCTAGAACGGTGCCTGGCACATAATAGGTATTCAGTGAATGTTTATTGTGTTAATGAATTTTTACCCACTTTTTGTTTGTTTCCTCAACAGGTTCTTGTCTTAAGAGCAAAAGAAACAGCTCTGATTCTGAAGAACTAGATGCTTCTCCCTCAGTGCTGAGGAGAATTAGGAGCTGTTTTCTGGGGAACTGAGGAATGTGCCCTTGGGGGCCCACGAGAACAGAAGGAAGATGCTCCAGACCAGTAACTATAGCCTGGTGCTCTCCCTGCAGTTCCTGCTGCTGTCCTATGACCTCTTTGTCAATTCCTTCTCAGAGCTACTCCGAATGGCTCCTGTCATCCAGCTGGTGCTCTTCATGTGAGTTCAGTGGGTGGGACTGGACAGCTAAACCCAAGCGGTTTGAAGGCTTTGACAATCATGATGTAGCATTTTAAAGTTATTAATAGAAAAATATTAGGGAAAAAAAATGTCACATTGTCCTGGGGTACACAGACATGTCACAGGTTCTGTCTTTATATATTTCTGACAAGGGTGGGGGATACAGGGAGCAGTTCACATCGAAAATGAGGGTCCAGCTGCTGACCCTATCACTTTCTACATCTGTGAGTAGAAGTAATTGTCTTACACTGCCAGTGAAGGGGACTGCAAAATGGCAGGTTAAAAGGGTAATGGTACTCCCCTGGTCGGTGTGGCTCGGTTGGTTGGGCATTGTCCTATGCACTGAAAGGTTGCCAGTTCAGTTCCTGGTTAGGGCACATGCCTGAGTTGGGGCTCAATCCCTGGAAGGGGGCATGGAGGAGGCAGCCAGTCGATGTTTCTCTCTCTCCCTCTCCCTTTCTCTCTCTCTAAAAATCAGTAAAAAATATATTTTTAAAAGGATAATCATATTAATAATATATATAAATCTCATAAAATGGAAGCTGTTGGCATTTTCTTTCACAATAATATATAGAGACTCCATGAGGCAAGTTCCAGACAGAAAACCAGTCTTAGACATGGTCTTCCTTCATTAAATAAGTATTCATTAGCCTGCCAGACAGTGTTCTAGTTGCAGTAGTAGATCTGACAAGTTCCTGCTCTCGTGGGGTTCCCATTCTAGTGGAGAGAATGAATATATATATATATATTTAAAAGATCATTTCAAGTAGTAATAAATGCCATTGCAATGAACATAAAGTAGCTGGGGTTGGGAGGGAAGGGCTACTTTAGGTAGCAGGGCTAAAGAAAAGTCTTTCTGAAGAGGGGACACTTGAACTGAGACTTGAGTGGCACTAAGGCACCAGCCATGCAAAGATCAGAGACCATCCATTGCTGTCTTGCTAAATAAAAACATCTGATAGGACCAGGTTATGTGACAGATGGGGCTGCCTTTTTCTGGACATAGGAAGGAAACTAGCTTCTTGCAAGTGCCTAGGAGGTTTGTTGAGTGTCCGCAGGAAAACTTTGTGGACTGCAACTGATGGGGCCAGTGGGTGGTTTTAGCTTCATGTAATTTGGGGCCCAAAGTGCATGCTCCCTCTGGGGGG